GCACCCGGCCGCTCTTAGCGGAAACCAGAGTTTTAGGAGTTAACACACCCTTCCAACCACTCTGGGAAGATAATTTGTGAATGATGGCGACGAGACGATTTAAAACCAAACGAGCTAGTTGACTGACGAGACCATAACCACGACGTCGATGGTTTCCGTCTGCAGATTGCAACCCATGCTAGTCTCAATATGGCCATGACATTTCTGAGAGTAGTTTCAGAGTCCGCCCCATAGGCTCTTACTGTCTTCCAGCTCTATGTTAGGTACTGCGTAGGAGGTGACTTGACCCCAGTAATATCTTACAGCATATGCGTGCAATTGACATTTGCGACGGATTGAGATGCTACCACGGAACACGCATTAGTGACAATTGTCCCAGCACGTTTCGACAGAGTACGTTTGAACTTTGGGCGACCTGCCAAACTATCGAGTTAATGATAGCACTTCATGGGCCAGAAGCCTTCGCAACGCAAATCGTTTGGTATTCTAAGGCTTGCCGCTTGTAGGTATCAAGCATACCAAATCCCGGCAAATCCGGGTTAAAGTTAATTCTTCTCACATGGCCGACGGTGCAATTTATCAGCTATGTGCTAGTGCTAGCGAGGCTCGAGTCCGAGGCCATCGTGCTCACTTCGGACTCAGCGAGGTTTCCGAGGCTCTCGGTCATATTCTCAAGCACTTTGTCAAGCGATTCCCCACATACCCCTGCAGTAGCAGCGGTGAACTTTCAGGCCGTCTAATCAGCGTGAATAGGGCTGCCCCAGTCAGTGCAAACTCTGATATAGGACTCCTTGGTAGACGACAGTCGAATCCATGAATTGTGGTAGACCAATCCAGGAATTGGATCTTGTGTCCAGTACCGGTGAACCCATTCGATACCGTCGTATGCTGCCGCGTAGGAACGTAAGTTTCCGAAGACGTTTTGCCAGGGCTTTCGGTATCCAACCACCCTCGCACTATGCCGCTTGGCTAATTCCCCAAAAAGGTTTGAATCCAAAATCTCAACTGTAATGGAGGAACTTCTTTTAGAACAATGCCGCCCATGGACTTCCGCGTCGGCCGAGAAACACCAACTAGATCCACACCGAATGGCTGACGTACGGACATTGGCCAAAGTTTAAGCCGCGACTTCGACCATACGTTCAACCACACAAAGAGAACAGCATGATCTATACCCATGTCCATGGCCTAAGAGTCATGACTTGTAAATGTATCCCATTAACCACCCTGGCGCGCATCCAATGAGCAGGGATGTGGAGGATACTCGTGTAGTTGAGTCTTGACAGGATCGGCTCCAACACACGGATCGGCCTACTTTTGAAATTGGACATCAATTTACTGAACGCTCAATTCGTTTGTCGATATTACCGTGGATTCATCTTACTCACGCACCCGGTTCCCCTTACTCTAAGTCCGAGCATCTGGCGAGGTACGTGTTTGTTATAAAGGACGGCTTTGCAGCTTCTCAACGAAACGAGATTTAACTATTCACTCCTGCAACAAATCATCCATCACTGCCACTTTTACAGATACTGCTCACAATGAAGTTCACCATTCTCATCTTTGCCGGCGCCGCGGCTGCTTTCATCAAGTGCGGAACACCCTCAAACGACCAGGTTAGCCTTTTCCCTGTACTCACGCTGAACATCAATCCAGCGGAAATCATCAGGCAACTAACCACAACATTCAATAACAGTTGTCGGGAGGATGTGACGACAACCAGGCAGGGGGATGTGAGATGTGGTGTGGCGAGCGTGTAAGCAGCTCATGAACCTTCCAGCGTATAGATCCATTCTTACGAGTCTTCACATAGTGCCCTAGCAGCAACTACCCCGTTTGCATCCCGTAAGTCAATCACAAGGCAGTTTTATATGTCGCATGGAGTACTGAATATTGAGCAGAAAGGCCAACAAGGACTACGACTGTGTCTGCGCAAGCACCTAAACGGAGGAGATACAGAGACCGAGAAATTGCCATACAAGAGGCTTTGCCTGATATCTCATGGATAACGCCATTGGATGGCTGCAGAAAGTGGTGGGTACACGAAAGTTGGTAGGAACAATTGCATGCAGAAGTGCACATATTCGATTCTCCGTTACTAGTATGATTTTCGGCCTAACAACACATCTATGTATCCAAGCGCCCTAATAATATGATACATTATTTTTGCTTTCAGCCTCCGGTAAAAATGATTGCAACTACTTCTGAGGAAAACAACATCGGAAAAGCTGTTTTCCCACATCGATACACTCTCGGGTGGTCTCAATATTGAACGTTTATTCACGCCGGTGAAGTAAAGTCCTCGCAAAAGATAGCCTGGCCAGCCTGGTTATTGCCACAGTCAGTACACATTCGTGAGACGGACAATTAAATGATAATTCATACCACATTGAGTGTGCAGCATCTTGGCCGACGTGAACCATGAATGAGGCAAGCCGTGTTGAGAGCGGTCAGAGAAGACGTGTCAGGCACAGTTGTGAGATTCGAGTTAGCTAGACTCGGCGAATTAGTCTATGGCGCAATTGTATGATGATGAAGTGAGTGGCGAGCTTACGAGGAGCACAGTCCATGGTGGTGAGGCCGTCCACATCGGTACGGCAGCAAAGTGGGCTGCCCAACGTGCAGAACGCAGCTCCCGAGTCGCCTTCGCAGACATCTGGCTCGCTGGTGCTTTCGCCGGCTTGCCTTGGTACTTTGTTTCCAGCTGGAGCCGCAATAGCGAACGCCGCGAAGGCTGCGAAGAAGACGATGGTTGATCTCATTGTAAGAATACTGAAAGAAAATGTCGGATGGGATGATGGCCCACGAAAGGGAAACTGATGACAAGGAGACTTGAAATAGAATGGCTTGTCGAGTTGCGTTGCGAGCACGAAGTTATATGTCACAGATCGGTTGATAAAATTGCGAAGGGCCTCATGTCTGGCAATGCTATCTTGTTAAACGGCCGAGACAGCATCAGCCCAAGTCATGTCTTATCGGCGAGGGAATGTCGCTCGACAGCAGCAAGCGCCCTCTTGGCAAAGGAATTGATCGTAAGCAGACGTTCTTCAAACGGCTGTGGAGATTTTGCAGCCACCGGAACTCGATTCACAGCCCTAGCTACGGTGGTGCACTCAGAATCGGTGTATGGAGGCTGAACCAAGTACCCGAGACCCGGGATGCGGACCGTTGACGTGGCTGAGACAACCGGGAAAAGAGCCGGATTTTGGAGTGACCCCTTCAAATGTAGGCCCGATAAAGGTGTATTGGCCCCTTGGCTCGGACGGCAAGTGAGGAGGGAACGAGTCGAAAAAGCAAGGTTTGCTCCCCAGGATAATACTTCGTGGCGCCGCTGCAAAGCCATTGACGAATCAGTCGTACAATGTGTTGATGATCTGGATTTCGGAAGTCTCAGGCCGTATATACTCCGTGACAGTCAATGGACATCTCCAGGGGGGCACGCAGAACGTCCACGATGGTTAAATATCACGGGAATAAATGATGTATGTTTATTGAATCTCGCCGAGGAGTCTCTGAAACACAATCTCGATCGACTGAATACATCTGCACCTCCCAAAAATGTGTACTAATGAAGTCTACCCTAATGAAGTCTACCACGGTTGGACCCCATTGGCCCTGACGACTTTCCCAACGTCTTCGTCTCTGCTGCCCTCGATCACATCCTTGATGAATTTTCCAGCTTCGGCCGGGTCTCTTGCGCCCATCTACCGCACCGTTAGTATGCTCCTTTAAAAAAGTGCACGAAGGTTGCTAACCTTCTTCATCTCTTCTGCGCCAACACCGCCAATACCTGTGGCTACATAGCCTGGGTTGATACCCCAGACCTTGACCCCATCATTCAGAAGAGTCCGGTGCCACTCCCGCATGAGCATGTTCAGCCCCGTCTTGACCGATCGATACAGCGGGATTGCGTCTGGGGTGTTTTTGGGCCAGCCCTTCGCCGGACTGGCATTGAGCGCCCGGAGTTTGGGGACCGGAACATCGACGAGCCCGCTTTCTATCAAGGAGCTAGTTCCGCTGGTGATAAACATGAGACGTGGGTCGGACGACTTGAGGAGCAAAGGCATAGCTTGAGTAGTCAGAACATGCGTCCCAGTGACGTTTACATCCCAGCTGGCGTTGAAGCCCTCGCGGATGCTTATCTTTCCGGCAGCAATGTCGGCATCATGGAGGACGCCGGCGTTGTTGACCAGCACGTCCAGCCGACCAAATCGGGACTCAATGTCCTGGACCGCGGTCTCGATGGATGAGTCTTGGGATATGTCAAGTTGGACAGTGCTCAATTGAGAGGTGCTTTCGGGAATCTGATGCGTTAGACTTGCGATGGCATTTTCACCCTTGGCGACGGTGCGGCAACCGATGATGATTTGGTAAGGCAACGAGGATGCGTAGAGGGCCTTGACAACCTCAAAACCGAGGCCGGTGTTGCCTGTAGAAGTCAACCACTAGCCCGTTTACAAGATTGAACGACCTACCTCCAGTCACAAGAACGACTTTCTTATCGGATGCCATCTTGAAAGGGATTCTCTGGGTGTAAAATGCTCGAAATTGGCGGAATGACTTTCCTGATCTAGGCTGTGACGATAAGCACTTCTGGTCTTCCTATTGTCGATTGACTTGGATTCCATGACTACCTTATCACCTTATATACATAAAGTCTCAATTCAAATAGCCACATAAACCAAATGACTGCCTTCTACAGGAAGGAAATGTCTCCATCACGGCACCGAGCTGTTCGGGGTCCGAGTGCCCCACAGTCGGCCATTTCGCTCTCCGGTGACGTCAGAAAGTTCGCTCCGGTGTAATCGTATCGCCGACATCAACCAAGACGAAGTCTGTCTTTGACATGGGCTGTGAGTAATCCAGTGTGGATTAGCCAAGATGGTGGGTGCTGCAGCGAGTGGTTTGTAGGTCCCGGGGATTATAAAACCAACGGGCAATGGAACAGGGAAACCAATGTTGGCAATCTTCAGACCACAACAACAAAGAGATACGAAATCATGTCGCAAAAGAAGATCATTACTGTTCTGGGTGCCACTGGTAAGCAGGGAGGCTCGGTTGTGGACACCTTCCTCAACGACCCCAGGCTGAATGGCTACTGGACTGTCCGCGGCGTCACTCGCGACACCAGCAAGGAAGCCTCTCGGCGCCTGTCGGGTTTGGGAGTCGAGATGGTTTCGGTAAGGCAGCTGTCTCGAGAAATTTCAGCGATGCATTGAATTGCTGACAATGACAAAGGCGGACCTGAACAACAAAGATTCACTGGTGAAGGCTTTCAAGGGGTCATACGCCGTGTTCGCCGTGACCAACTACTGGGAGACGCTAGACATGCAGGTGGAGATCCAGCAGGGCAAGAACATCGCCGACGCTTCCAAGGTACACACGACTGGATACTCAAACGAAACGGATGATGACGCTGATACAAACAGGAAACGGACGTAAAGTTCCTCATCTGGAGCTCGCAGCTCAACATCAAGAAGCTTTCCAACGGCGTGTTGTCGGACCTTTACCATTTTGACAGCAAGGCTATCGTGGAAGAGTACATTCGTGAGCTCGGCATCCCAGCGACGTTCTTCCTCCCGGGCTTCTACATGTCCAACGTTCCCGGTGCGATGTTCCGTCCATCGGCGGAGGACGGCGCTTGGACATTCGCTCTCCCCATCCCTCCCACCGCTATCTTCCCCATGTATTACACCGGCGATACGGGCAAATACATCAAGGGAGCAGTCTTGCATGAGAAGGAAGTCCTCGGAAAGCGTATTCTGGGCGCGACTGCGTGTATGACGGGTCAGGAGATCGTGGACGGATTCAAGGGGGTGTTTCCCGAGAGCGGCAAGACGGCTCGCTACTACCAGCTTTCAGAGGACCAGTTCCGCGGTGCCATGAAGGCTCGGAATAGCCCGGAGTATGTGATTGACGAGATGCATCAGAACATGCGTCTGCTGGATGAGTTTGGGTACTATGGTAGAGAGTCTCTTGACTGGACGCATCAGCTGGTGGAGGATCGCTTGACTACCTGGGAGGAGTTTGCCAAGGCTGATCCGGGTTTTGCTTCAGCAAGATAGCTTGAGTGGACAAGATGGTTCTAGAAACGCCGATGAGAACTGTGTCAGATATCGGAATCATGAAAAGTCTTTGCCATGACGGCGAATATCTTTGTTCATTCCTCAAAGAGAACAAGACTGGAAGAACAGGAGCAGGACAAGGCGGGCAAGGAACATAGAAAGAGCGCGGACCAAGTAGAAAACATGAATCACAATGGAGAACACAGCCAAAGGAATCCACGTTGTACCGAATTTGTAGTATTCTATCCCTGACTAATTACACCTGGCGTCTTCAAATTATGACAGGCAATCTCTTCCCTACTCACGCCCGTCACTTTGCCTTTATCACAGCAACTCCCGCATCCTGTTTCCGCCACTTGATCTTCCTACGCTTAGACACGCTGCCAAGGTAGACGCCGTCTCCGCTTTGGCTGCAGCTGGCATGCCTTCAGGGTATCATCAATCTTGGTGCTTTCATTCGACACAACGCTCTTGCCTACTTCAACTTCCAAGTCTTGATGAATCAGACCCATTGGGTCTGATACGGCTTTTTCTCCTGCGTCCCTTGTCTCGGTCGACCAGAATTTGTCAATCAGCTCACTCGGAAGGGGCGTCTCCGGAAAGCTTGATGTCCAGAACTCAAGAACCGAATTATTATCTTGTCGACAGACAGCGACCAGACTGTTGCCCTTCCCGGCACTGACCTCTCGGCGAAGCAAGGAAAGCAGACTCTCGAGCCTCGAGAGATCATTTTGACGCTGTTGCTCCCATTGTTGGAAGAGAAGCTCGCAGTTGACACGCTTGATTGCCGAAAACTCGCCACCTTCATGGATGCCATTGACGAGGTGCGTTGTCCTTCCGAACCACATCTGGTCGATGACTTCAGACAGCCTCAACTTAGGTCTCGCTTTCATCTCCACCAGATCGGAAGGAGGGTTTCCGGTACCACACTGTAGAACTGTAGTCTTCTGTCTTTTCTTCTTGCTAATGCCGATGTAGGATCTGTGATCGCGAACGGGCTGAAATTCGCGGGCATCATTGACTGATGAGACATTGACTTCCTTCACAGCCTTTGCCTCCACAGCTGCCAAATCCCCAGCAAGCGTAGGCGGAGCGGCTGGAGCGGGCTGGGCTGCGTCGACCTCATGGCGAACGACGAGGTTGAGGTCACCGAATTGGTATCGAATCGCGCGATGGTGCGAGAGGCTGCCCTTCATGTCCTTGGCGTGCTCCGTAAATTCCTCCTCGAACGAGTGACCGAAAGAGTAGGGCTTCCCATAGCCCATGCTGTATTGATTGTTCTTCTCTTGGCGGGTGATGAAGAGTGTGTTTCTGACCATGTGTAACTGGACCCTGAATGAGTCCTTCTTCCCGCCCTTGACGAAATTGAACAATTGTCTTAAGCTGTTCCGGTTCACGACCACATCCACCGAGTAAAACGTTGGAGGGGAAACGTCGGCCTCGATAGCCCTGAACATCGGTTCAAAAGGCATGGTCGGATTCATAAAAGCATTGATATCGACATGGTAGGTACCCTTATCGGGATTTATCTGGAGCGGAAGGTTGCGCTGAATCAAGGCGGGAGCGGCCCCTGAAAAGGTCAGCGAAGGCACTTAAGGTAGGTGAGAAGTGAGAGGCTGACCAGGAACCATGATCGTATTCTTGCTCAGCCAATTGTAAGACGTCACCACTTCGAAGCCGGCGGTGGAAGAAATTGATGTGCGATCTGGGCTTTGGTCCTGGATGGACCGAAGGTCAAGTGAACCAGTTTGATGGCCTAGTTGCCGGTACAGCCAACAATCTTGGGCGTTGATCTCCGCACCGGCAGGATTTGTAATCACGGGGGTCCAATTCTTGACTGCTTTTGTGGCAGGGGCATCCGTTGCAGGCGAGGTTCTCAAGTTTATTTGTGAATTGTCGTGGTCGCTGGGATGGTGAGACTTCAGACGCTTCGAATGATGTGCTGCGATATCGTCATCGTCCTTGCCATAGCAGTCCTGCTTGTATTCGCCATTTTCCTTCTTGCCGTCGTTCTTGCCTTCGTTCTTGACATCACTCTTGCCGTCACTCCTGCCGTCGTCAGTGATCTGCTGTTGCTGCAAGCGCCTCTGACGATCGCGCTTGCGCTTTCGTTGGTTTGATCCAGCCATCTTGGGATGCGGAAGGAACGTTGGGGAGATTGGTTGTGGTGGGGATGGTGCGATGGTTTGAGGAGGTGAGGCAGAGAAAAACAAAAAGCAGACGACCTGGGAAAGGTAAGGTACTGGCGTAAGGAGCTGCAGGAGTTGGGTGAGAGGCAGAGGTGAAGACGTGGAGGAAGGAAAGGGTGGGGCTTGGCGTATCATGCCTTCCTAAGTTTCTTGCTTTCGCCTGGCCTGCAGGCAAATGAGGTAGGAACAGGATTTTCACATGAGCCTGCAACTGTCGGTCACGCTTCAACACGCATCGCCTGCGTGCCACGGTAGCCAGCTGATCAATCTTGTCATCAAGAAGGTATTATCAGAGGTAGCGGGATTCTAGAATCGGAAGAGACGCTTTAAACTCTAGAGAAAGGAGCGTGTCACTAATGCTATTAGGTCTTCCGCAAAAAGACGTGAAGATATGCAAACCATCCTAGGCACGCGTTTAAAAGGGAAGCAAGCCGTCACGGAAGAAGAGTACACAGAACGAGATAAGATTTTCAAAAAGAAAAAGAAAAGAAAAAAAAAGAGCAAAAGCTCGGGACTCGAACTTGCGAGGTTCGAGCCCTTACGAAAGCGGATTTCTACCTGGTTGTTTAGAACCGCTCGGCTACTGCGGTGCTCGCAGACTAGGTGCAAGACTCTGCTCGTCGGGTCAGACCCTGGAACGGGAGACTACCGCAGTTGTTCTGACTATATAGGAAGAAGGTGGTGACCCACCAGACATGCTCCCCTACCGACCACTGGATCGTTCAGCACAGTCGCAGACGTGGAATGCACAAATGCAAATACAAAACACAATTTCTCCAGAATATTAAATGTGCAGACGATATTTCTGCAATGCGCCTTGTAAAACATTAAGCTAAAGACCTGCGCTCTGGGACCTGAGTTCTGTCACTGACCCTGCATCTGGCCCGGGGCGAGCTCTTGATATGCGGGCGAAGGCACTGAAGCGGAGGGAACAAGATACGTTTACGCTACGGGAGTCGAATACCAGGCTCAGTTCCATGTACGTCTATGCCCCTTCAGGAATTGGTCGACGCAGTGTAGGAAGAGAAGAGAGAGGAGCGTGGGCGTGGGTAGTAGTAACGGCGGCAGCAGCATGCGGGAGGTTTCACTCCAGGAGTTTCGCTGGACAGTGGCGCCAGTATCTATAGTGTCTGTTAGTAAGCTTCTTCCCATTGCTCTACGTTAATGCTGTTATGACTTCTGTCACTGTTAAGTTCTTGCTTCTGCTGCGACTTCCTCGCATGTTAACGCTTTTGCTTTCGTGACTTTCCTCAAGTCATAGCCTGGCGACGAATAAATTACATAGCAAAGTGCGCATAAGGACTATGCGGTAAGGTCGGGCAAGAAAGATCTGGGATGTGAAAATCGTGAAAGGCGGGAAGACAGACGGTCTAGACAAGGACAAGTGTTAGAAGGCGGGGAAAACGGAGTGAGAAACAGAAGGAGAGAGCGGAGCTTAGCACTTCCTACCTCCCCAACTTACCCAACTTCACTTTACCTAAGCTTTAGACAAATAAGGGAGGAATAAACATTTTCCTTACGGCTACAGCTCAGTCACACGCGAAAAGGCGTCTGATGCCTGCAGACCTAGGCGAGCAACTCGTCAAAAAGGTATTTACGTACATTAGTAGGATTCTAGACTCAGAAGCAGGGCTAGGCATTATAAGAGCATAAGCGTGTTACTACCAATAGTAAAAGAGATTAACGGCTCTCAAGCAAAAAGAGAAAATTGTTCATTAAGTGATTTCATTGCTCGTATTGATTCACTGAGTAGAACGAGAAAACAAAAAAGTAGCAAAAGCCGAGGACTCGAGCTTGTGAGGTTCGAGTCCTTACGAAAGATTTTCATGCTCTGCATTTTATACCGCTAGGCTACTGCGGTCGCTCTTGCGTGGAATGCTCGTTAGAACGGGAAGGCCTCGCGGTTGTCGCTACTATTGGGTGTGTTGGGGTAAGCCAACCCAACTCTGACGAATCGACACAATTATTATTTAGAGGCCCCACGTCTTCAGTAAAGGGCCATCGATTCGCACCTACAGTAAAAGGAAACACTATCTCAGTCTCACGATCCCATCATCTGCCACTCTCCACGCACTTGGTGTCCTAAACCCAACCCTGCAACCCAATCGTAAACTTCTGCGCATCCCTCTCCAACTCCCCCTTCATCGCCTTCAACTCTTCCACATCCCAGTTCGCATGCACAAACCGCCCATTCAAGAACCTCGCCTCCTCGCTCACCGCCCAGACCACAAAGTCACCCGGCAGCGCAATGTCGTCGTACACGAGCCCCAACTCCTCCACGCGCGGCGCGAACTTCTCCGACATGGCGGTGCCGCCGATCAGGCCCGGGTGCACCTGGAGGACGAACATGTCGGGGTTCTCGTCGTGGAAATACTCGAACATCTTGGTCGCGGCGCTCTTGGAGGCGCGGTAGGAGGAGAAGCCGGCCATGTAGGGGAGGTGGATCGCAGCGGTCGAGATGTGGATTACGCTTGCATCAGGGGCGGCGAGCGGGTGGAACGCGCGGAGAAGGTTGAAGTTGCCCTTGACGGTGACCTCGAAGGCGCGCCACCAGTCAGTCGCGTCGGAGTCTGGGATGGTTTTGAGGTCGGACATGTAGCCTGCGTTGGCGACCAGGATGTCGATCTTGGCGTTGATAGTATCGTGGAAATATCGTAGGGCGGAGTTCGTGGCTTCGACCGAGGTGATGTCGGCGGCGTAGAGGTGGACTTTGACGGAGGGGTTGAGAGCTTCGATTGCGGTCTTGGTTGCTTCGAGAGAGGCCGTGCTGCGGCCAAGGAGACCGAGAGTCGCGATGTTGGACTTGGCAAG